ATGAGTTCGGTGTATCCTTATATAAATCCATGGATCCAACTTTGAGGGACAAAAAGGTGATGTTTGTGTAGTTGAAGTGTTCTCAACTCATTCACAATTTCGTAGTATCTGAAACATCATAGCTAGATGGTAAAATGGTACTTTTAAAGCTTTACAATATGCATTAGGTTAGAGCAGTAGAAGCATCTTGCTTCTGATTCTCGAGTGACGTAAGAAAATATTCTCCTTGAAGCTCAATGTAATTGCATGCGAAGTTTGAATGTTTTTGTGAAGGCACCAACAAATTTTGATGTGCATGCAGGCAACCCTAGAGTAACCCCGGAAGTGACGAGAGATGTGTGCTTATTGGCTAGAATGATGGCTGCAAATTTGTATTTCTCTCAGATTGAGGATCTTATGTTTGAGGTGACAAATTGGTTACTGGATGTTGTTGCCTGCAATTTGCCTCCGATCCCGTACTAAATTTTTTTGTCTTTCCCATTTTATTTTGCTTATGCCAGCTTTCAATGTGGCGATGCAATGATGAGCTCCGTGTGCGTGCAGAAGAACTTCATAGGACTTCCAAAAGAGATGCAAAGCACTACATTGGTATTTACCTCCGTTCTCTGTTCTGCTACCAGACTTGTTTTCTGAAAGTGTATTGGTTTGGAGCTCACATATCATTCTCTTCTGCCTTGCCTTTCTCTTTTTATGATTATTGATGCTAATATTCTAGAGTCTCTCTCCCTCCTACCCTTCAACTACTAACTGTTCTTCTTGCTTAATCTACTAATACAGAATTTTGGAAGAAAATTCCACCAAATGAGCCCTACCGTGTTCTTCTTGCTGATGTGAGAGATAGGTTATATAATACACAGGAACGCGCTCGTCAGCTACTAGCCAATGGGTTCTCTGATGTTCCTGAGGAGTCGACATTCACAAATCTTGAACAGGTGTCCTTCAGAAACTCTTTTTATTTCTGCTCACCTCTTCAATAATACAGAACTTGTTAGCTTGATTCCAAATTTACCCATGCGGAATAGATATCTTTTTCATTTCCAATGTGTGTCAATGATATTTCATCTAGGATTCTATATGTGATTTTTAGTTATTTTTATTTGAAAGTGGATTAGGATGTCTAAGTAGCAAACTGATAGTCTGTTGACTAAATGTTGAAAGACATAAGAAAATAGTTTATGTAAGATAATAAGGAAACGAACTCAAGCGAGCTTTTGGAATTCTTATTTGACAATATTCATCTTGCTTTTAACAAAGTTATAACATACTACAACACCAAATTTGTGAGCCAAGTTCTACAGGTTATTTTAGGATTTTATTAATCACCCAAATTAGTATGGTTCTCATTTCTCAAATGTTATTTCATGGCATTCAGATCTGCTAATAGACATGCCAATTTCTGTATGATTTGAATATGTGAAAAAGTTGGTTGTCTTTATCCTGCAGTTTCTGGAACCTCTGGAGCTGTGTTATAGATCTCTATGCGCTTGTGGTGACAGACCGATTGCAGATGGAAGCCTTCTTGATTTTCTAAGGCAAGTGTCCACCTTTGGTCTGTCGCTTGTGAGACTTGATATTCGGCAAGAGTCAGATAGACACACTGATGTTCTAGATGTTATAACAAGGCACGTGGGTGTTGGCTCCTATAAAGAATGGTCTGAAGAGAAGAGACAGGAATGGCTCTTATCTGAACTAAGTGGCAAGCGTCCACTTTTTGGACCTGATCTCCCTAAAACTGATGAAGTCGCTGATGTTTTGGATACCTTTCATGTCATCGCTGAACTTCCCGCCGATAGTTTCGGTGCTTATATAATTTCGATGGCCACGGCACCCTCTGATGTGCTTGCCGTTGAGCTTTTGCAGCGTGAATGTCATGTAAAAAGTCCATTGAGGGTTGTTCCGTTGTTTGAAAAGCTTGCTGATCTCGAGTCTGCACCTGCTGCTGTTGCTCGGTTGTTCTCCATAGATTGGTACAGAAACCGTATCAATGGGAAACAAGAAGTTATGATTGGGTATTCTGATTCGGGTAAGGATGCTGGCCGACTATCTGCAGCTTGGCAATTGTACAAGGCTCAAGAGGAACTTGTAAAGGTGGCAAAAGAATTTGGAGTAAAGCTAACAATGTTCCATGGCCGAGGTGGGACTGTTGGAAGGGGAGGGGGTCCCACCCACCTTGCTATTTTATCACAACCCCCCGACACAATTCATGGTTCACTTCGTGTGACTGTTCAAGGTGAAGTTATTGAACAGTCATTTGGGGAGGAACACCTGTGCTTTAGAACTCTTCAGCGTTTCACAGCAGCTACACTTGAGCATGGAATGAACCCCCCTGTGGCTCCAAAGCCAGAGTGGCGTGCCCTATTGGATGAGATGTCTGTTATTGCTACAAAAGAGTATCGGTCTTTTGTGTTCCAGGATCCACGATTTGTTGAATACTTCCGCCTTGTAAGTATATTCAAGTTACTTCATAAATTGATTTGAACTACTTTTAAATGACTCTTAATCATAATTTAAAAAGAGGTATAAGAAAAAAAACATTCAGAAACCAACATATTCAAAGAATTGAAGGGGACATGAACAATAGTTTTTAATTAGGTGAAAGCAGTCGTTCTAATAATTAGTCAAAATAGGCATGAATGGCAATTGCATTGCAGACATTGCTAACTTATTTGCCTTCAGCCCGATGCCTATGAAACTGAACTTTCTTTTTCTGTTCGTTGAAATGCAGGCAACCCCAGAATTAGAATATGGTCGCATGAACATTGGAAGTCGCCCGGCCAAAAGGAAGCCAAGCGGTGGGATTGAATCTCTTCGAGCTATTCCATGGATCTTTGCATGGACTCAGACGAGGTTTCATCTCCCAGTCTGGCTTGGCTTTGGGGCTGCATTCAAGCATGTTATTGAGAAGGATATAAGAAATCTGCAAATGCTCAAGGATATGTACAACGGATGGCCTTTCTTTAGAGTGACACTTGACTTACTCGAAATGGTCTTCGCTAAGGGAGACCCTGGTATTGCTGCATTGTACGATAAGCTTTTAGTATCTGAAGATCTGTTGCCGCTTGGAGAGCGATTGAGATCCAAATACGAAGAAACAAAGGGCTTTCTCCTTCAGGTACATAAATTAATACTATTATTTTACCTTATCACCAGAAAGCTCACATTTTATGGAACATTTCTTTTAATCGCGCTGCTTGTCATAGGTTGCTGGGCACAAGGATCTTTTGGAAGGAGATCCATACTTGAGGCAAAGGCTCAAACTTCGTGACTCTTACATTACGACCCTCAATGTAAGCCAAGCATACACATTGAAACGAATTCGCGACCCCAACTACAATGTGAAGGTCAGGCCGCATCTAGACAAGGAGATCATGGAATCAAGCAAACCAGCTGCTGAATTAGTGAAGCTGAATCCTACAAGTGAGTATGCGCCTGGCTTGGAAGACACCCTCATCTTGACCATGAAAGGTATTGCTGCTGGAATGCAGAACACTGGTTAAGGCAAAGGCTATTATGTATGTATAATAAGTGATATTGTCTTTTAACTTATATGAATCCTGTTTCTGTTGAAGAATAGTAATGATGAAATGTTTTTGAAGAATTTTGAGTGTGTGATTTCTGATTAATACGTTCTTGAATACGATGCATGGAGGGTAAGAAAAAACTTGGAATCATCGGTGTCTAACTGGAAATCGCAATGAGTCGATATATTATGATCTGATGTTGAATTCCAACGACTGAATGAATTTTTTAGCCAAGCATCCGTTGGTAAAACATTATGTTAGTGATACATTTTATGTTATAATTCTTGCATTATAATTTTTGTATAACTTTGTGTGAGCAAATCAAACTTAAAAGTTTGCTGGGCAAACAAGAGGTAGTTAAAGTCGGAAATCTAATACTAGTCATAAAAATCAATTTTGGTTTCCAAAGATACCAGAGGGTCATTTGGTTTGAAGATAAGTTATATAAGAATTAATTATCTTCGTATTATTTTTTGTTGACAATGTGGTTTGTTATATTAAAGATAACATAAATTACATAATTTTGAAAGACCATGAGTATTTTTATCATTTTCATTGATTTATACTGAAATAACTAATCTCAATACTAATAATTAATCATAATATACTTATCCGAAAATTAATAACCAAACAAGAGATAAGATCATCCTTTATCTCTTGTTTAGCAAGAATAACAAATGTTTAATTATATGATCGATGTACATATAAAATTAATCGAACTTGCTCTTCTAAGGTGAAAAAAAAAAACTTGCTCTTGCTCTTATATAAAAAAAAGTGGCACAAAATGGGAACTCCTGACAATCGTTCATTAACTAGAAGAATTTACACTTTTTTTTTTGAAAACGATTCATAAGCCTTCAACATGATAAGAAACTTGAGATTATCAACGAAATTGAGAGCAGGATTCAATATATAGAAGAATTTACACATTTTTTTTTGGTGGAAAACGATTCATAAGCCTTCAACAGGATAAGAAACTTGAGATTATCAAAGAAACTGAGAGCAAGATCTAGTATATAGAAGAATTTACACGAGGAAATCTCGATTTGTTCAATCCATCCGGTGATAAATTGAGATGTTGTAGCTCATTTTTCGAATCCAACGTCTTCCTGAACTTTTTTCGCCTCTGCAACAAGAAATATCGAGTGTGAGACAAGACATGCAAACTAGTATTTGACATGAAAAAAAAAAACCAGTCTGATGCACTAAGCTCCCCATATATCCGGAGAAGGGCTGGACCTTTAAGGTCCAATGTGTGCTAGAGATTGTTTCCACAGCTTGAACTTGTGACCTCCTATTCACATGAAAATAGCTTTACTAGTTATCTCACGGCATGATTTTCATTATTCCCTGTGACTAAACAAGTTCTATACTAAGATGGAACATGAAAATTTTGAACACATTTAGTCGAATCTAAGATTCATGGTAATTTGAAAAGATGATAAAAGTTGTAGATGGGAGGTTCGAGTCGAAGCATACCTACTATTTTCATCAGAGGTTGATGGAAAATCATAAAAACTAGAGCTAGGCTTGCGATTTATTTCCAATAATAGATACACCTTCCTCGATTGCTTGGACAAAAGTTGCAATCTTGTAAGTGAAAAATCCGACTAGCATGGGTATCAACTCGAGGTGCATGAATCCATACTCCGGGACTAGGATCCTGGAAATACATCAATTTGTAAGATCAGATACATAGGCAACTCTTCATAATGCAAAAACATTAATACTTGCACAACAACAATGGAAGAGAAGTCATTAAGGTATTTTTTTGGATGCAAGTGTAGTAGGAAAAGGGGAATGCCGAAAAAAGTTAAACTAGACTGGATTTTTTGGTTTGTACAAGCAGGAAAATGGCGAGAAAATAGATTAAGAGAGGAAGTTGAAGCCCCATAAAATAGCCACAACTTCCTTGAGTTCAGAATGCAGATAGATTTATGCTACCAATAGTAGTTTTCAGAAAATAAACAAGAGGTTCTAAGAAGTTTGCTTGAATAAAAAAGAGAAGTTTTATTTAACAGTTAATCTCAACACATATCTTTTTGGTCAATGTGGTAATAGTGGTAGAGCTTACCCATTCCACCGGTTAAAAATCATGACCAAAGCAACAGGAACCAATAGCCTTGGCTGCCCAACAGCTCCCCTGAAAGTAAAAGTTTCTGGTAAGCATATCAATCAGAGATCAAAACAGTCTGTTTTAGGGATATAGCTACTTTTCTTAGTCTCAAACAACAATGTCATTTATCATGCAAGCATTTGATTTCTATTACGACTGTGGGTTAATGACTTCCAATCCTGGAATGATGAAACTGACAATTCACAAAGAACTACTATTTGAGTGACCTCGTACAACCCCAATTCAAGAATGACAATATCGATTTAAATGTGATAAAGTGGTAATAGGATGCTCCATAAACATTTTTCCAAAATGCTGAAAAATAGTAGCACATGCAAAATGCATAAGAAAATTGGGCTTCCTATTTTCAATTGGCATCAATCGCCTCCATTAAGACACGTACATGCAACACAAGGAACAAATGATGTTTAGGTTTGAGATAATGCAAGAATGGCATAGAGGGAGCCATTTGCTAAAGATAAACAATCAAAAGTGTACTTGATAAGTGCTCTGGGTCCATCTGACAGCATAGAATCCACACTGTTTCCAAGCATACGCATGTACATCAAAGAACCAATCAACCCTGCAGTGTAACTGCAAGAATGAAAAATACAACAGTTCATTAACACCACAATTTCTGCATGAGTGCAACATTGCCAGATTTTAAAAAACTAAAGATTCCTTACATTAAGTATATCTAAGCAAAGAGAAGCTAAAAACATCCAGGCCCGATAGAGGACATTAAAAGAACTCTCGCAGCTTAAGATATTTCAGTCAAAGAAAATTCCATACATTTCATCAGTTATCACAATTGCCATTTTCAGAAGAAATAAGCAAATTAAGACTCTAAAGTAGACACGTAAAGCAATAATTGGAGGAGCGATTTGTAATAAATAGGGGCCATGTCCCACTACAACAATAGTAAATCAAACACGAGTAATTCTAAAGTAGACACGTAAAGCAATTAAAGCATATAGCCATATAGGAATTCCTATTTTGGATTACCTTATTGCTATTTCAGGAGAATAAGAGATATAAGCTGAAATCACACCAACACCACCAATCCCAACTGTGAGAAGCTGCAATTTATTCTTTAACTGGAAAGAAAAGAAAAAAGAACAATCAAAACGGTGAACTGAAAAGTCAACATATCTCAACAAAGAATGATTTATGCAGAATAAACGCAAACAAGTACCTTAAGATACTGTTCCCTTGACTGAGCAGCCATAACCTTTGGATCCCCTTGAGGGCGTTTTATTTCCCTGAACATAACATCCTGTATGATAAAAAATTCAGAATTACAACTTAGAGAAGCATATTTCTCTATCATTTTAGTTAGAAACAAGGTGAGCTAAGAAGTATTATAAACCAAGTTTCAACCAATGAACTAATTGCAAGTTCCGATGACATACACTGCCCCCAGTTGCAGCCTTGGCAGCTTTGCCCCACTTCTCCTGCTCCCGTCGTGTTGGTGCTGGCCGCCATTTTTGAGATGCAGTAAAAGGAGCCTGAAAATCAGTTTAGTTATCGACAATGATAGTAGAAAAGGCTAATGCTTAAAGATGCTGAAGGCAAGTGTTTTAAAGCCACTACATACTTGAGTATTTTCGACTTCTGGTTCTAGAACAGGTTGTGAAGGGGCTGTTAGCTCCTTGGTCAAGTCAACTTCCAAACTATTCTCCATATGCGATTAAATATTAGAAGAAAACAGAATTTCTAAATCTCTATAAAGAAAAGAAGAAAAAGATCACACCTGTCAAGATTCATGACTCTGTTTAAGCTAAGAAATCCTGATATCTCTTCCTGTTAAGATATCAAGTCAGAAGAATATTGGCAACCATCGAAAAAAAATGGTACTCCTTAAGCAACATGCATATATTATGACCAACATATAATGCAAAAGGCTAACAACAACTTCTTATGTTCTTCATACAAGAGTACCACACAGATAGAACACACTCCCAAAAAGAATGAGCTCTTGTTAAATTTGGAAATAATTTAACTAAAACTTGTTGTTCTACTCTTATTAGACGCTTTTATAGCCTCATAAATGTTACTGTATGACATAGTTATGATCACATTGTTTCAAAAGTCAAATAGTCACATAAAAGTTGTGGCATATTTAACACCACAAGTTTCAAAAGTGTTCATTCCTTTGTTTAACTCCGTTCTCATTCAAATAAGTTCATTAAAATGAGCACTTTTGAAACTTGTTAATTGCCAAACCATTAAAATGACCAAGATGGTTAAGTGCCCATCATGAAAACCAGGATATGCACCAATAAAGAGAAGCCTATCAATTAAAGAAAGATTTCATCACAAAACATATTCCCTTCGTCTACTTTAACTTGTCCATTATACTAAAAATAAGTGTTCACTTTTACTTGTCAACTTCGGAAAATCAAGAGATAATTTATCACTTAGTTCCTAATTAACCCTTATTATTAACTATAGTCAATTACCCAATGCATTTCCCAAGCCTTAAAGGATGAGCCAAGTCAATTTAACCGATGTATTTCCCAAACCTTGAGGGGTCGTTTGGTTGGGGAAAAGTTATCCTTAACAATTATTCCGGGACCTCCAAGTATATAAGATAACTTATCCCATTACTATGGTATAAATGGTGGAATAAATAATCCAAGTACTACTAAAACCTCCAACCAAATACAGGACAAAATAATCCTGCATTTTATCCCGGAATTGTTATACCTTATACCTCGCACCAAACGACTCCTAAGGGGGAGCAAAGTCAATAGTGAACAAGTAAACATGGAGCATTAACTGATCTCAGAACAACACAACAGAGAATAGAACCAAAAATTCAAAAGTTGCCTGAACAATTGGTAAACGTAATCTTCCACAGCAGTTCAAATTCTAGAAAAGATAAAATCTTTTGTGAAGAAAGCATGTCATAAGTTATGACTAGAACAGCTCAAAAGATGAATGCATAGTAAGGGTCAATTAGGCCAAAGATTATACCTTTACAGCAGCAGCAGGGGCATTTTCTTGAGGATCCTGAATGTACTTCTTCATGCGACCCATAAATTCCGTATTCCATATAAAATCATCAGAGGTGAGAGGATCCACATCCTCACCCCAATACTTCCTGAGCTTAGTAGTGGTAGTGGGTGGGTCAGTAGCATAGTCCCCAGTAGTAGCCACCCCACTGGACAATTTCACAGGTTTCTGCTTGGATTGTGTTGGAATTGACAATGGGGTTGGATTATTTGAAGAATCTTGAGATATGGGTGTGGCTGTAGAGGTAACTGAGAGGTAGCAGTAGTTTAGAACTCCCATTTTTGTTCAATTTGGAGTGATGGGGTTGTGTTTCTTGATCTTATAGACAAGGAAAAACAAATACCTTTAGGGCTCGTTTGGTGTGAGGTATAATAACAAATAGTCCCGGGATTAAATTATAGTACCGCTTATTTTGTTGTTTGGTTGACAAGTTCGGGATAACTTATCCCGGGATTAATAATTAGTACCGGGATAAGTTATCCCTCTCCTTGGGTGGTATAGTAATCCCGGGATAACTTATCCCGGAATAAAATAGGTAAATGACAAAAATGTCTCTTTCAACCCTTTTGTTATATCACTTTTTACATTAATGAAGGGCATTTTTGTAAACAAATAAATTGTTCTTAAAATTTATTATTTTGAATACAACAAACCAAACACTCAATAAAAAATAATCCCAACACAACTTATCCCATCATAACTTATCCCATCATAACTTATCCCAACATAACTTATCCCATCATAACTCATTTTCAAACCAAACGACAGTGTCAATTGGTAGCAAGTACTATATGATAAGGGTGGACCCTGGTTGAAGATAACATTGCTTCCTTTTATTGTTTGGCCATGAAAAAAGTTTGATTGGATATTTCTGAAGTAGTTTTTGTAAAATGTATTCGGTTCGAATACTAGGTATAGAAAAATTCCTGGTAGAGAGCGTTTTTTACATGCGCGAATTTGAAATAGTCTAACTCTAATTTAGATATCGGACACAGGGTTTGAAACCAAAAAATAAATGAAAAAAGATAAGTTTATTTTGTAAATTACACTTTATTTTGAGGGCATAAGAGAGATAGATTTAATTTGTTAGATTTACAAAAGAGCAGTAATTAGCTAATGATTTCTGGATAGAATTTAGACACGATTGTAAAATGATTATCTTTTCATTCAATCCAACTTTGTTTAAACTTTCTTTTACAAAACTAAACATTAATGTTTGCCTTTGAGTCAAGGATAATCAAACTACAACACATAAATTGGAACTATGGGAATAATATATTTAACATCTGACATAGCGTCTATAACAATCATTCATTCTCTCCACTGGGATTCATTAAAATCAACTAGTTTTATGTCGAACTCAAAAGCCAAAGCTAGCGGAAGTTGGAGGTGTTGCACAAGATGATCAGGGAGGTGAGTAGACTGATTCTTCCATCGACTCGGTTATGACCTACCATTCATACGATGATTTTATCCTCCCGAGCTTGGAATCTCCATAATGCATATTCTAAGGGGCGACAACATCTATAAGTGTGTGAATTAGATGGTGAAAATGGTAAGAACCTACCAACAAGACTCAATAGTACTACATCATCCACCACATTCCATGCACCAAGTGAGCACAAAAAATATGAAGTTGTAAATATTAGTTAATGTTAAAAAGAAAATAATCATATTGAAATACTCTTTTGTTACTGTTCGAAGATAATGTAATGATATTCATTTTGTTAATTTCCTTCTACGTAAAATACGCATTCGACACCTAAGTACATGATGAGCAATGTAAATTATTTTCCTTTTTGTATAATTTGTTGCTTAAAACAAAAATATTTACAAGGGATTTGTGTAACAATTAAATTTATGAAAGGGAAGAATCAAGTCCCCAATGGATAGAAGAAATTTTACCGGATATGTCTTTAGCCTTGTGCACGTGAAAAATGAGGTTCAAGACCATCAAATCATATAGACTATAGTAAATTGTACATATTTTACTTGTTTAATTTATAACTATCTAGATACATTGAATTTTAGATTTGTCTAACAATGTTTTGTGACAAAGCAATACCGATGTCACACAACACCGTTTTGACTAATATGCATCCCTCTTCGTTGGTGCCCCATCTTCTTCAAATCTTAGATTCGTCTCACCCATACTAACATACTAACATATGTATATAATCAAATAATCAATGTAATAGCAAAAACTAAAGATTCATGAGAAATCCAGCAATGATGACAACAATAGGGTTTACCCTATGATCTTATAAACTACAAAATACAAACTATATCTAAACAAAATCCAAGCCTGAATTTAACAATAACAACATATTCAGTGAAATTTCGTAAAGTAGGTCTGGAGAAGGTAGAGTGTATGCAGTCTCGCTCAAAGGTGGAGAAGTTGTTTTCAAGAAACTCTTGGCAAAGCAATAATAAAACGGAAAAAAAAAAAATGGATAGCGGAGAGAGGAACATGACAACTAATAGCAAAACAGCCATAACAACAATCACTATTGATTCAATCACAATTTACAATTTATTTTGAACAAACCCATTTCCCATCAATCCAATCTTGATGAACTCTCAAATCACTTATAAAATACCCACATTCATCTCCACTAGATTCAAAATACACAAAATACTTACTCCCAATTTTACCAGTAATTCTTCCAACCCACCATCCATCATTACCAAATGCATCAACTTGATCATTCAAATTAAATCTACTCACCGGAATCACCGGTGGAACTGGCCGGAGTTCTGAGTGGGTAATAAACTCCGTCAGGGGACCAGATTGATCATCTTTCAATAGGGTTTTATACTGCACGATGTAATCTTTCTTGAGTGGTTGACATACAACAATTGCCTCATAATAAGAACCCAGAAATCCATCTTCTTTGCTTCCAACTTCAACAAGATCGCCTCTGCTAAACCCCATCTTCATAAGAAGAAGAAAACAAGTAAAGATATTATTGTTGCGTGATTGTAGGGAGATTGGTTTTAAAAGTTTTTTTATTTATTGATGATTTGGGCATTTAAGTAGAATAATACTACGGAAAAGAGTCATATTGCTCTTGTATTATGAGAAAAGAGTTATATTTGTCCTTCATTGTACTTTCTTTTTTGATATATTTACCCATGTCATCCAACTTTACACACATTTATACTTGCATTGTTAAGTCTTATTATCCTGCATGGCACCTATGTGGCACGGCACGCCTACATGGATATATAAATTTATTCTACTTAAAATCTCATTCTATTATACCAAATCCAATAATATACCCACCCATTTAATTCATTGTAAAATAGTCGAGGTGCAAGCAAACTAGCTCGAACACCCCAAACTATATGGAAAAAATTGTAAAAGAGTATGCATGATGCTCATTAGTCATTAGAAAGCAAGTGGCTGGTGATAAAAGTTAGCAATCAAATTGTAAAGAGTAATCCTAGATACCCCCTTTATTTCAAACCAGTGAAAGTATGTACTCTCTATTTGTTGCGTTTCTTAGCCTGCTTGCCCTGGCCCTTCTTAGGTGGCCCCTTTCCACGACGTTTCAACATTTCAAGCTTGCTCAGACGCTCTTGTTCTTGACGTGCCATCACAAGAGGGTCGTCTTTCATGATATCATGTGGGTACCATTGTGAGACCTTTTCACCGATCAGCTTCTTGCGTAAAACTTTGTGAGCAGATCGCTGCCCAGTTGGATTAATTACATGACCAAATATCTTGGCCCTTGCCTCGACCAATCCTTCAATGGCTGCAGCAGCTACCATATTTTTCAGTCTCCCTAAGTTCATTTCTTGATTCCAAATAGAAGCTCAATATTCCGATTCACTGCACAAAGGAGAAGCAGAGTCTCAAAGAAGGTTCAGTAAGAAGCTTAACACAGTTGTAAATATATCAGACAGTGTTCTTAAAGGTGAAAAATGCAACAACAAAAAAAAGATTAAGGTCCTTACTCCTTACTAAGGCTTGAAGCAAAGTGCAGCATGCAATCAATCGAAAACTAAAGAAATACTAAACATATATGAATTCAGCACGAATTAAAACTTTGCTCATCTTTAATGGACAACAGAATCACAAAACATGTATACATACAAAACTAGTCATACTTCAAGCACCCCTCATTTTATATCACATTTCTGAATGAAAACATTTTCTCACCCTATTTATTTTTAGTCCAAACAGTGAATCAAAATTCAAACAAAACTTTCCTTTAAAAAAATAAAGTCTCAAAGTAACCAACACAGATTGTCCATTACCTTCTCAAAACGTCGACACAGATTGTCACATTAGTCCCCACTATATCACATTCATTCTGTTTCTCTGATAAAAATATCACATGTTGCTCTCAGATAAATACAGAGAATTAGATGCATATTTTCCGCTTAACAGCAACAACAAGATATCATTGGTCATGCTTTTCCATTAGTATGCTGGGAATGACCAGAATACAAAGTGCTCCAACTATTGAAACAAAAGTTGGAGCGGAAGACTCTAAAAAGAAAAACAGAACAGAAAGTTCGACACAACCCCAGCTTGAAACCTTAGACATGCTTCTAAATTCTCAGAAACAAAATCATCAAAACACTTCCTGAATAACGCCACAGTCCCCAACTTCATCACAAAATCTCATTCCCATTTCATATTTCATCATCCCAAGACTTCTAAATCGCCTATATATCAAGAAGAATTACGAGACATCACTTTATTTACGTATTTTGAAAAAAATTACAATATTCCAAAGCGACATCAACCTTCTTATTTGTTCACTAGCACAACCGACTACCACCAACTTATGTGCAAGGGATATTAATTCTTTTGACTTGGGAAATCAAATAGTGAACGCATATGCCTGTATGCATCCTAACTCAAGAAATGCAAATGATTTTTCAGGCTTCTAATGCATACCAAGTTTCATTTGAACCTACTTGTAAGCTATGGGATTAAGCTAAATCAGTCCAATAATTCTTTTATAAAGAAGTATCCACTTAAAAGTACTAGCGGACTTTTTCCTATTTATCTAAGCTTCGGTGGACAGAGTTAGCTTATATATGCACGGAACATTGAACTATCCAATTAACCTATTGGAAATATGAAACTAATTCACAAAAACAGTGAACTTTATGAAGTAAATCATTTCATTGATAACATGTAAACAACAGCTAAGCAGAACAAAATCCTTATCAGAAAAATGTAAACAACAAGCTAAATTTCAACTTTAAAAAATGGAAAGCAAAAACTAATTTACTCGTTGCGAAGGAAGTTACGACAGAAAATGTACACATTCAAATGTAGAATGGAGCGGACCTTGATGAGAACAAGCAGCTGCCTTGCTTTGTGAG